GCCGGGACAAGGTCATCCAGGGCCAAGGTCAAAGAAGCCAAATTGCGCCACCCAGTCATTATGTGTAAGCTTAGGGTATGCTACCCCCAGCAGTCATCCACTTGTTAAAATGTTCTGTATCAGAATGAGCTCATTGGTGCTCCCATCCATACAGTAAACTGCTGCACCCAGGGCAGTCGCCCCTCCTGCCCACCTCTTGTCCTGGCCCTGCACAAGATGATTCTCTGTTCCAGCCAAAGGGTCTGTGCAATGTTAGGGTTTTCTTGCCCATTTTTTGATGCCACTGGTGTCCAAGGGTAAAGAACAGGTGCAATAGTGTGATGTGTGGATTCCTACAAATAACTATGTGCCCAGGAGGTGGAGAGGAAAGTTAACGCATCCATGAGGATGTCGATGACGAAACGCGTAGGGCAGGGCTTGATTGATTACATTTCCCAGTGATCTACTGCGCATGTGCCAAGTGGCTGGGTTCGTTTCATTGTGATTCCTATATGCTGTTAATGCTGGTGTTGGCTGGGACACCCTGTCAGGGCTCCCGGGTATGACCAGAGGTATGTGACTGATGCAGGGAAACGCAGGTTTCAGATAAGTTATAAACAATATAATTTATTTAAGACTAACAATACAAACATAAACGCAGTGCAATACTAAAACATAACACAATGCAAATGAACCAAACCACCCACAGATAATACATACAGTGCAAGCGTTGTCAGGCAAGCCGGGTCAATAACAAACGGGCAGGTAGGAACAGGAGGAGCAGGCAGAGAGTAGTCAGGTCACGAGCAGGGTACAGCAACTAACAGGCAGGTAGGTACAGGGGGTCAGGCAGAGAATGGTCGGGGTCACAAGCCAGGGATCAGAACAGGAGAGGTCAGCAGAGGTCAGAATCAAGCCGGGTCAGCAACAAGACAGGAACAGGAACAGGATGCAGGAACAAGATACAGGGCCCAGGAAAAAACACACACCAAGGCAGAGTCTGCAGGTCTGGCCATCCCTTAAATACCCCAGTATAAGCAGTTTCAGGTGTTTGGCTGGCTGCAAGGTTGAGTCTCTGATTGCTGGGAGCACCCGCTGGCCAGCCCTGGTACTGCAGCCCATAAGGCAGGTGAGTCCCACCATTGCTGGCCAGTCCATTCCTGACACACCCTTTGAGATAAGTGCAATGAGTGCATAATAAATGAAGCTGTTTTTTAATAATACTGTACCATGAAGTTTTTGTTATTTCTTCCGAGTGACTGGTATTACCCCTTTTGGATACGATTAAAGTGATCTCTTGGAGAAGTGGATTTCCTCAGTGGTATTTAATTATAGAGCATTGCTTCATTGAAATTGGTCTGCTTGGAGCTGGGTTCTGCAGAATATTACTCCCTGAAGACACATCCATGAGTGGTTCATTCCTCTGCTAATATCATCGCCCCCAGAGCAATATATGCTTCAGTTTTTTATAGCTCTGGTGAGTTTATTTAGTGCTTTTGGTGGTGGATTGTCAAATTTTTTGTGCACTTTTCTTCGGATTTGTACTACACATCTTAATTTGGACTGTTTTTGGACACTTTTTTATATAAAAAAATTTTTTCACTATGTATTTATAATTATTACTCACATGGATAATATTTTTATATTTTCTTTGTTCACAGGTATAATTGTAATATTTATTTACTAGCGCAAATTATTTTTGTGTTGCTTTTTACACTTTATTAATTTATGGTGGATTTTGCAGCTGGTATATCATTTAGTGACCCACATTTTTCTCTCTCCATAGGCGCCATTATATTTATTTACTTACTTATATATGAAAGTTAACGCATGGCTTTTCCTCTCTCCCATCCTTTCCTTACTTTTTTCACATGACTAAAATTACTATACTATTCTCCCATGGAGAGAAACATATTTTATCACTTCCTGTGACATTATCACCAGTCTTGTAAAATTATTGCGAGGGCAGGTGCTGGGGGTCAGTTTCTTTTAACATCCCTTCCCCAGAACTACATTTCCCAGGCCCCTGTGAGTCAAGACAGCATGATTGTTATTTTGGGTAATCAATGTTCTCATCCGAAATGGGACAGGTATAAGTGGGGAACAGGTAGAGTTTTGCAGTCCAGTAGGCAGAGCTGACATATTTTGGTTGAGAATTTAATGGAGAGACAGAGAGCAGAAGGCAATAGGTGGAGTTCTGTAGTCTTGCAGGCAGAGCTGACAACATTTGTTGTGGTTTTACTGTTGTAGACGAGTTGTGTGGTCAGCTGAAACAGGAAGTTAGAAGTACACTGCATTTCTGGCAGGACCGTCACAGAGGACAAGGGAGCACTCTTTACATCTGGAGGAAAAGAAATTTAATCTCCAAACAGGGAAAGGTTTCTTTACAGTGATAGCTGTGAAAATGTGGAATAGAATCCCTCAAGAGTTGGTTTTGGCCAGCTCAGTGGATTGCTTTAATAAAGGTCCTGGATTCTTTATTAGATACACAGAATATAACTGGATATAACATTTATAGGTAAAGTTGATCCAGGGAATATCCAATTGCCTCTCGGGGGATCAGGAAGGAATTTTTTTCCCCTGCAGGAGAAAATTAGATCATGCTTTGCTGGGTTTTTACCTTCCTCTGGATCAACTGTGGGTGTAGGATTATAACTTTTTTTTTTTAGTGGTTGAACTGGATGGACTTTTGTCTTTTTCAGCCAGACTAACTATGTAACTACGTAACTATGTGGCTAACTGCTTTTCTGTACATGCAGCAAGGGATAAAAAGTGAGATGCTAGGGGAGATGACTGTAGTAGCTGTGCTTAATACAGTGATTTTCAATTCCTATTTGGGTCCCCACAGGTATGGTACATGCATACTTACATTGGTCCAAACTAAATAAATTATCTAAATAAAACTTGCCATACCTAGAATTCAGCTTTAAAGGCCTCTCCTCTTCCATACATGCAACACTACACACATTTATTTTTTTGTTTACAAACGATTTTAATGACAAAAAGTAGACAATAAAACAACAACACATTTTCGGATTATATGTATAGCAAAAACAAGGCACTTATGAAAAGTACAATTCAGAAAAATATATTATAGTAAGAAAGAGAAGAAACAGAAAAAAAAGTAGATTGCAAGTACATGAAATACGTTAGTAATAAGATAAGTTGAATGAGACATCTGTCAACTGCATTTGTCAGTAACTTTTCACTGGAAACGTTGTTAATCATGCAATAAATGTCTATAATCCCTCCATGATTCCCATTTTTTATCATATAAGTGCATCTTATCCAGAAGAGTATAATGAATGCGTTCCATGAGCTTTACTGCATCAATTCTGTGTAAAATGGAGGCCAAAGGCACCGCATTGGACCTCCAGTGTAAAGCAATAGACCATAAAGTGGCAATACACATAGTATGTATCAATCTCATAATGGCATCTGGAACTCCTGGGATATGAGCCCCCAATAGACAGGTCTGTATAGGTAAGCGTACTGGGGTACCCGCCAGTGAGGTAGCCAGATATCCTATACCAAATCAAAGAAATGGACGGGCAGTCCCAAAATATATGCACCAAAGTGCCTGTAAGGCCACAGCCCCGAAAACATAGAGGGGACGTTTGTGGGAACAATCTATGTAGTCTTGATGGGGTATAATACCATCTAGTTAAAACTTTAAGGGCCATCTCACGAACAGAAAGAGATCGAGAACTTTTACATATATTATCCACCATGGAATCCCACACTACACACATTTAAACAATCTTGTCTCTTTTTGCCACGTTCTCTAGAATAAAGCAATGTAGAATAGGCCACACAACCAGTTCTGGGACAAGGTCATCTAGACCAGAGGGTGGACATGCAAAATTGTGCCCTCCTCAAGATGTATGATGTATGAGCATTATCTGTCAGCAATAAACCCCTCCCCCCAAAAAAAATATATATCCTGTCCTGGACCCATCCCTGGCATCCTGTGCACTATTTACGTATATTACTAACAATTATAGTTACATAATTAATCAGGTTGAAATGAGACACACGTTCATTGAGTCTAACCAACAGACAAAAATAAAACAAAAGTGAAAACAAGTATTCAAAGAACCCTAAACCCTAAATGGCTGCTCTAATGTACATATACAGTAAATTAGCAAAATCATTAGAGGCAAGGTATTTACAACATTAACACACATTGATGGGGCATTTTATCTGAAGCAAATACATTTTCTGCATATGTTGAAGCTAAAAAGGTTTTTTACCCCCCCCCCCCCCCCCATTAATCCCTAGTTTACACTGAATGCGGCTTGAAGTCTCACTACTTCAGTGTGCTTTAAAGCTGTAGATCAGTGAGATTTGCACTGCCAATTGCATTGTGGCTTGCAACTTCATAAACAAAAGTCTATGCAAATCGCAATGAAATCAGGAAAAAGTAGTGCAGGAACCACTTTCATAATTGCTGAGACATGAGTAAATGGTTCCATTGCTGGCAATAGGGTCCAACTTGTCATGCGATTTGGAACTGTAAAATCGCCTGCAGGGGCGGGCTGACAACTCATGGGGCCCCCGGGCAATAGGGGATCATGGGGCCCCTGTGTCCTTGCCAAAACTCAAAAAAGCCTATGAAAAAGGTACCAAGGGCATCTCATGGGGCCCCCTACTGACCCCGGGCCCTCGGGCAGTGCCCGAGTTTCCAAATGGTCAGTCCGCCCCTGATCTCCTGACATGTCACACCGGTTTTAACCAGGGCTAAAGCAGAACTGAATTCCAAATATAAACAATGTCTGGGAGGTAGCGCTGTTTTATTTTGTGTATGTTGCCTGCAGGACATGCCCAGTGAAAGACCTGGAAGACACCGGACCCAGAACAAGGTTTAGCATTCTTTGTTTGGGCTTAGCGCTAGTTGTGTACTGTATGTGGATATATAATTACATTTAGGGGTGCATTAATGAATGTCTATTATATATACCTGGAGTCAGCCCTAATCCTTCATTATGAACCTTATGAATGAATTTTACAAAGAACTGAAAATGTTTAAAAGCAACCAAACAGTCGTCACTGAATTCTTACTTCTCGGATTTCCAGGTCTTAAAGGATTCAAACCTGTATTTTTTCTTCTAATGCTGACAACTTACATGATCACTTTAACAATCAATCTATTCATAATCATTTTAGTTTCAACCACAGCGAAGCTCAATTTTCCAATGTACTTTTTCCTCAAGCACTTGTCGCTAACCAAAATGGCTTTTCTGACCACAGTTGTCCCCAAAATGCTACATGTAACATGGTGGGAAGGAGCTTCTATCCCAATGACTGGTTGCATCCCTCAAACTTATCTTTACCTTTCACTAGGAAGTACAGAGTGCTACCTTTTGACAGTAATGGCTTATGACCAATATTTAGCCATTTGTAATCCATTTCATTATGCCACCATCATGGACCACAAATGGCAACACTTTCTATCCATCTTATCCTGGGTGGCTAACCAAAATGGCTTTTCTGACCACAGTTGTCCCCAAAATGCTATTTGTAATATGGTGGGAAGGAACTTCTATCCCAATGACTGGTTGTATTACTCAAACTTATCTTTACCTTGCACTAGGAAGTAGAGAGTGCTACTTTTTGACAGTAATGGCTTATGACCAATATTTAGCCATCTGTAATCCATTTCATTATGCCACCATCATGGACCACAAATGGCAACACTTTCTATCCATCTTATCCTGGGTGGCTAATCGAAATGGCTTTTCTGACCACAGTTGTCCCCAAAATGCTATTTGTAATATGGTGGGAAGGAGCTTCTATCCCAATGACTGGTTTCATCACTCAAACTTATCTTTACCTTGCACTAGGAAGTAGAGAGTGCTACCTTTTGACAGTAATGGCTTATGACCAATATTTAGCCATCTGTAATCCATTTCATTATGCCACCATCATGGACCACAAATGGCAACACTTTCCATCCATCTTATCCTGGGTCTCCGGCTAACCAAAATGGCTTTTCTGACCAAAGTTGTCCCCAAAATGCTATTTGTAATATGGTGGGAAGGAGTTTCTATCCCAATGACTGGTTGCATTACTCAAACTTATCTTTACCTTGCACTAGGAAGTACAGCATGCTACCTTTTGACAGTAATGGCTTATGACCAATATTTAGCCATTTGTAATCCATTTCATTATGCCACCATCATGGACCACAAATGGCAACACTTTCTATCCATCCTATCCTGGGTCTCCGGCTATCTTATCACCTCAATCACATTTGTTTTTCTGTGTCATCTACAGTTTTGTGGGTCGAACATCATAGACCACTTCTTCGGTGATCTTGTCCCTTTTGTAGAACTGGCATGCACTCATAAGAATGACTTACAGATTGAAATATTAGTGCTCACTTTTCCTATAGCAGTTATACCATCATGCTAATTTTTCCAGCTACATTTCTGTCTTCTTAACCATCCTTGGAATCTCCACCACCAACGGGAGGAGCAAAGCTTTCTCCACCTGCACTTCTCACCTCTCTGTTGTGTCTTTGTACTGTGGAAGTGTGCTTGCGATTTAACTGGTCCCTGCTAAAAGACATTTCCTGTCCAAAAACAAAGTGATGGTCTTGATGTAAATTGTGGTGACACCATTGTTCAATCCAATCATATACTGTTTGAGAAATCAGGAAATGAGGGTCACTTTGAGTCATTTAATAAGTGTATAGAAAGAATAACCAGCTTTTGCTAGAATGTAGAGCTTACTAGGTGAATTTTTTAGTGTGTGTACAAATTAAACATACGTTCAATACAGTTAAAGTGGGAATAAAAATTGTCCGTGCATCAGTGGGAGTAAACTGTGCATCTTTGCTATTAGAGGGAGGAATAATGCCCCATAGTTGGTGTCAGTAGTCAGTATAGTGTCCCATTGTTGGTGTCAGTGGGAGAAATAGTGCCCTGTATCAGTGGGAGGAACAGTACCCCAAAGGCCAGATAAAGACAAGCATAGGGCTGCTTTCATCCCCCAGACCACAGTTTCAAGACCTCTGTCTTGCACAATTAAAAATCCACCACAAGCAATGTTTACAGTGCATCCAGAAAGTATTCACAGCGCTTAACTTTTGCCACATTTCGTTATCTTACAGTCTTATTCCAAAATGGATTAAATTCATTTTTTTCCTCAACATTCTACAAACAATACCCCATAATGACAACGTGAAAGAAGTTCGTTTTGAAATATTTGCAAATTAATAAAAAAAAAAAAACAAAAAAAAAACACATGTACATAAGTATTCCCAGCCTGTCAGGAATGGATTCACCACTGGTGGTGGGACTCACCTGCCGTGTGGGCTGCAGTACCAGGGCTGGCCAGCGGAAGCTCTCAGCAACCAGAAGCTCACTCCTGCAGTCAGCCATCAGCTGAAGCTGATTGCAGGAGGTGTATTTAAGCAGGACCAGGCCTGTGATCAGGGCCTTGGTGTATGTTTCCCATGAGCCCCTGTACCTGGTATCCTGTGTTCCTGCTTATCTGCCTAGTTGCTGACCCTGCTTTGATCCTGACCTGTGCTGACCGTCTCCTGTTGAACCCCTGGCTTGCCTGACCATCCTTCTGCCTGATCCTCTGTACCGCGCTGCCGGAGAGTTACTGAACCCGGCTTGTGACCCTGACTGTTCTCTGCCTGCTCCTCCGGTACCTCACTGCCCTCACGTTGCTGACCTGGCCTGCCGGACTACGCCTGAAGCTACCCAGACGATCCATCCATCCTGCACGGGTCCAGTCACTACTGTCCAAACCTGCCAGCCCCTTCACATCAGGCTTTCCCCCAGTACATACCCTCGGCGGACCCCTCTACCACAGTTAGGTGCACTCAGGAGCCGCGACCTGGTCTCAGTCCTGCGCCAAGTCTATCCCCACCATCAGGGGCTCTGGTGAAAAGGCAGACTGGGGCTTAGACTCCGCGCCCTGGGGAATCCTGTTCTGTGGGTCACTAGAGATCCTGCCAGGCGGTGCCTGACAGTACCTTACGGCCCGCCTGACCATTCCACCTCTCCAGCCCTGACTATGCCTGTGTTCCTGAAGCCTGCTACTTCCCTGTGTCAGTCCACACATTTCTGGTCACACCCAGATCCCTAACACAGCCTTTGCCATGACACTCAGAATTGAGCTCTGGTGCATCCTGTCCCCAATGATCATCCTTGAGATGTTTCCACAACTTCATTGGAGTACACTTGTGTGAAATTCAGGACATGATTAGGAAAGCCATAAACCTGTCTATATAAGGGCCCACAGTTAACAGTGGATGTCAGAGCACAAACCAAGCCATGAAGGCCAAACAATTGTCATAGACCTCCGAGACAGGATCGTGTCAAGGTACAGATCTGGGGAAGGGTACAGAAAAATTTCTGCAGCATCGAAGGTTCCAATGAGCACAGTGGCCTCCATCATCCATAAATGGAAGAAGTTTGGAACCACCAGGAATCTTCATAGAGCGGGCTGCCTTGCCAAAATGAGCGATTGAACTGTTTTATTAGAGAATTTATACAGAGAACCATCAGATAAGAGTTAATCACATGATCACAGGCAATGCCCACCTCAGACAGTCCGGCATCCATGTAGGAATGCATTACACATAGGAAGCCATATGTTACAATGATAGTTCTTTTGGGCATTACTGGCCCTAGCCACTATACAGTTCCATGTGAATGTGACTAGGACTCAGTGAAGTGCTGATGGAGTGCCCAGGCTAGATGGAAGTCCGGATTGGCATAAAAGTCAACTAGTGATCAGCTTCTTCTGCAATACTTGAAAACACAGAAAACAGAGTTCTCTGGGCAATGGTTTTCTCCTGCAGCCCCAAGTCCAAGACATTAAGCATCATAAAAGAAAGAACATAGTAAACGAATTGAGGAACATAGATCTCCAAGCAGTAATAACTAAAGTTGGGGACATACCAATTAATATCACAGCAACCAAGGTAAAAATTTCTAGGAGTCACTCAACTCAAGAAAAGGAATAGCAATGGATTAGCAAATATGCGGTGTACAAAAATTGAGGCTGATCTTTTTTTTTTTTTTAAAGCTACTGGGGGATCCATATTTGTTTTTTTTTCAAACTGAAATTAGGCTTTATGTATCAGAAAAAAAACATAGAAATATATGACAATTGAGGTTTCCAAGCATTTAGAAAACTGAATGTGATGAAAGACCAGAGACCTAACTATCAATGATTTAAAGCCCCGACTCTGGGAAGCTTGAAAATGATTCCTTAAAGTGGCACTGAACCAGCATTTCAAGGGTTGATTACCTGTTTAGTATAAGGAAGAGAAGTGCTTTCTGTTACCTGATCCTCCTCTCCCTTGGTAGGTACACACTCCCCCATGTTCTGGTGGTGGATTGTCCGTCATCATCACATTAAGTGCAGGGATATAGACCCTGCATTGGCCTTGATGATATCAGAACCTTAGACCAATAGAGAGTAGGGGAATGCAGAGGAGCAGTGCATAGGAGTGAGGAATCGGGTAAGAAAATATTCCTTGGAAAGTCCCGTGGACCTAAATGAGTAAACAACCTTTGCAGTTGGGCGCAAAGGAGTTTGGCAATAATAATCATGAGACATCAGTTTGTATATAAAGTTAAGGGTGTCATTGATGGCCTAGAAATAGCACTTAAGGCTCACAATTTATTCAGGGCTTTCAGTGATAGGCAACAATGACAACTCCTTTGGCAATGAGCAGTACACCATTATTGAACTACTGCCCTAAGAAATGCCAGGCAGCCATTGCTAGAGTGCTTGTAGACAGAAATGGCTGAAGAATATCATCAGCACTATGATGCAAAAATAGTAATTAAAATTAGAAAAAACATTACATTAAAAAGATGATTGTTTATGATGAACTGAGTTTTAGCACAACGTAGCTTAGTTAAGGTTTAACAATTCAGTTTTCTCTTTGGACCAGAATGACAATACCCTATAGTGCCGCCCCATAAATCTCAGAGCAAAGTGGACAGATTTGCTGTAACATTTGACTCCTTTCGGTGACGTCATAGTTCCTGCAGAAAAGGGTTGATAGTCAGGGATTCTGCAACACAAACTAATAGGTCTAGAATTATTTCCTTCCTGTCAATGGACCTCCACACTATACACAGAATAGAATTCTAAGATGCATAACTAGAAGGATCACCAGCAGGAGGAAGGAGGTCCTCATCCCCCTTTACAGATCTTTAGAGATCACTAGAGGGGTCACCAACAGGAGGAAGAAGGTCCTGATCTCCCTTTACAGAACTTTAGTTATCAATTGAGG